GTGGAACCCGACTGAATGGGAAGCGGCGAGTTGGTCGTCCAAGGGTGACTTGGAGGAAGTCATGCGAGGAGGACATGAAAACATGTGGGAAGACGTGGAGCCAGGTGAATGTGTTGGCAGAGAACCGAACGCAATGGAGACGTGCAGCTGAAGCCTTATGTTCCTCTAGGAACTATGGGATATAATAATAATATAATAATAATTGAAAGGGAAAGTACAACGGACGACGAATAGACGTGTTAGCGTACCAGTCGAGTTCATTACCGTTATAACATTTAGTGGTGCAGATATAATAGAGTCATCAAATTAAAACTTATCATCGATTCGTAAAGTCTTTGATTGCTGGGTAGTAGGTTACTAGTTGTTTGGTTCAACAATGGCGGCACACCACGTAGAACTTTGCATAAAAGCATATTGGAATACCTGTTGGCACAGTGTGTTGTTACAACTTTTGCTTACTGTAAAACATTAATTTTTAACTAGGGTTACATCAGTCAATTAGTAAAGGTTGTGAAAGCGATGATTCACTAAAGGTATAAGAAAATTTCGTATGTGTGCGCTGATGAAGATATGACAAAAGACAACTTAGTCAAACGTACATGCCAATTTTTGGTTACTCCAAACACCTTCCATAGAACACACGCCTGAAAATATGTCATTCACAACTCAGTAATAGGCTTGTCAGACGACTTGATAAATGAGAGCGCTGAGACAACTTTCTGTATCCAACCCCTAGTGTCTTCTTGAAGGCAAGAGAAAGAAGACTAAATACAGTGAAGATAGTCATTTACTAAGTGAATTCATTTCAAAACACTAAATTCAGTAGTGTAAACACCTTTTTATGCAATTCCATCCAAACAGCTTTCATACAACTTATTATTATTCCCTTGCCTTCCGAGTGTAACATAGGGGGCTTCAACAAATCATCACTTTCTTCTATTTCCTGCCGTTCCCCTCAGCTGGCTTTTATGATTGACAACAATATTTCATCTACCCCAACTAGCACGGTCTTCACCATGTCAACCTCACACCGACGACCTACTCGTCGCTACACCCATTGGGATTCCACTCTAGCTACGGCCTAAACTGAGAACGGTGTCATTCAACGGTCTCCTCAACATATATGCCCGATCAATCCATCTCATTTTCTCCTACATATTTGTTGAGCGATCGGTTGTTACCTGTTGGTTTGTTCCCAGTCAGCCAGAGTTTCTTGTTGCTAATTCTTAATACTCCGCCGGTCGGCTGGCTATTTGATATTCAGTATGGAGCCAGCGAAGTGGGCAGCTGTTGGTAAAATTCTGAAGTGGCTTATTAGGTATCATTTTCGTGACATGCTGGTCAAGTTTCTGACCGGTATAGGAGGACTGACTGACTTGATATTTGTGTTGAAAATCCGAATGTTGCTGTTTGTGTTGAGGCGGAGTGCAGAAGATTTCCAAAAACTATTTTCAGGTTGATGAAGGCGCATCTTGCCTTCTGATTATGGCTGACTGGCTGGCTTGTGACATCTTCATCCGTGCTTTCCGTCTGTGGTTGAAACCATGTTTCCTGGCCGGATAAGTGGAGGAAGGGAGTTCTGTCAAATCTCTGCCGTTGATGGTGATTGGTGCTGGCAGTTGTTGTTGGTTGGTTGGTTTATCTTCATCACCTCTGTCTTAACTTCGTCTATGTTCAATTGGAGTCCTGTTTTCATTGGCTGGTTCTTCAACCAGTTTGTTGTTTTTCGCCTGCCTGTATTTCTTCGAGTTTGTATGACATTACGCATAAATCATCCATGCACGAAATCTAGGTCTTCTATAGTCTTCATGTCGGTCCAACGTATTCCTGTCTCCTCACTTCCTTTGCACAGTCTGATGCATAATCCAGTCTACCACAATTAAGAATATCATTGGTGACAATAGGCAGACAGCCTAGTCTTACTCTCGTCTTTATTTCGAACGCCTCACTGAGTTTTCCGTTGTAAAACGCCCGACACTTGACATTGTCATATAGCCAGGTGTTGAATGAGTTTGATAAAGACTTGGGCACTGCACGCTGAAGTAGTTTCCCAATTACTTCTCGGTCAATGTGTCTGTCGAAGGCCTTTTCGAAGTCAGTGAAGTTAAGGTGCATGTCTGACCGCCATTCTATGGTTTGTTCGATGATGATGTGTAGAGTTGCAATTTGATCAGCGCATGATTTGCCTTTCATACTACTTATCTTTCGCTAACTATAAATTGGGTGACAGAATTGATAATTCCATGACAGAGAGACAAGTCTAACGTATGACCCTTATGACACAACACAAAATGTCACATAAGATTAAGAAATGTTATAGCTCCATTGGATGTTGAAAAATGAAGCGACTCGATGTTAACGCCGCTTATCTGATAAAGAATAATAAGAGAATGAAATATAAAATAATTATATATATATATCCATTTCATATATGGCTGCGAAGTGCGTTGCCAACTACTTCCACTCAGTACGGGGTACAGTGCTCCTAACTTTTATCAACCTCATACAACAGCTGTAGGATGATGACACATGTCAAGTAGCTTTAGGCGGAATACACAGCGAAGTCTTTGAAGTGAGAAGACTCGAGCAAGACAAGGTTGCCTACTATTATCGATGGTAATTCTAACTGTGGTGGACTGGTTTACGCAACATATCTGGCGTGGGAGCGAGAAGACAGAAATACGTTGGATCAACAAATAGACTCTTGAAGATCTGGATTTTGCGGATGGTTTATGGTCAATGCTATACGAAACCTGACGATATACATGCAAGATTCATCAATTTGGCAGAAGAAGCAATCAGCAAAGAGACGATGTTAAGTGAACATAGAGAAGACAGAGGTGAGAAGGATATCTACTGACCAACAACAACAACAACAAGCACCAATCACCAGCAGTGGGTGAAATTTGAACGAGGTCATCTCTTTCACTTATTGGGGCAGTATCGTTTCAGCTACAGGCAGATAGAATGTATGAAGATGTCAGCGCCAGGATCGAAAAGGTAAGATAGACCTTTATTACTCTAAAATCAATCAGGAAATCTACTGCACTGAGTATTACAGAAAAAATCTGGATTTCCAACACAAATGTCAATCCAGTCAGTGCTTCGGTATATTTCAGAAACTTGATGTATCAACAAAACAATTTCAAAGAGGCTTTAAACATTTATCAACAGTTACTCGCGCTGGCCTCGTACTGAAGATCAGGTGGCATGCCAGAGTGACTCACTTTCAACATAGTAGTGTGCAAAGAAGTTCAGCAGTTCGGGTTACTATATTCCATGCAACACCCAAAGGCAAAGAAAAGAGAAAAATAAGATTCAAAAGGGATATAATATGCCGAAAACTGAAAGAGAAGAAACAGTTGCATAGAATAACTTGAGGGCTTTATAATGGACAATAGAGATGCAGTTGTGCCACTGAGTACTATCTTCAACCATATCACCAATAGTCTGTAGTCTACAACACCGTCCAACGTGGCTCAAACTAACCGTCAAGATTTCATGGACTGATTCCGCATTTTGGTTCGCCAACTACTAATCCTTTTCATCAAAGTGAGATCTTATGTCACATAACATCGCCTGTAGAGGAAGCTGATGGCTTGGGATGCACAAAACACATGTCTATGCATCTCAATCGATAAAGGCTTCATAATTTTATCGATTGAAGTTATTCTCTCCCTAGTTAACACTTTGTGCCTAACCTCAATATTACTCAACTACCATACCACCACCAAACCTATTTTTTATATTTAATATTTTATTTTCTTTTATTTTGTATTTAAAAAAAATATAGAAATAAAACTCGAAAGGGAAAAGGAGGGGTTAGGTGTCCGAGTGTGAGATGGAATAGCTCGTGTGGAGAGGAGTCGATAACTTATCGGCAATTGTGGAATCAGCTGAATAGGAGTGAAGAAAACAGGATGAAATGGAGGTGCGCACCTGTCGAAGCTCTGTGTTCTTGATATAAGTATAAAAATTGGGCACTGTGGTAGAGTATAACTCCATGATATATAAGATTTTATTTTGATAAAGTCAAACAGTGGTGTTATACAGTAATATTAACTGATGACCATATTGCGAGCACAAATTATTGCTGCTGATAAATTGATGAGTTAAATTGATGACTAGACAATGGAATAAAAATTAATATGGGATAATGTTCATTCAGATATAATAATAATAATATGAGTGTTATTGATCAATTAGATCAACCAGATGGGAAATAAGACGGGTGTTTTTATATTCAAAATAAGAAACTTGTTACAATGTTATGATGTACATGAATTGAATTGAAATAGAATTTTGAGAATTGATCTGAATTCTATTATCCTCGTCTGATTTGACTGACTAACTGACTGATGGTAATAATGTCTTCCATGCATATCTCTGGTATACGCATTGAGTCATTTCAGTTGTGTGTGTGTGTTGGGTGTAGACTAAATGAACCAGGATTCGGTTATCAATCTCTCTACCTCCACCTACCTATATTACTTCTCAGAATTTTGACTCTGTCCTACCCTATTGTGTATTTGTGTGTTGATGCATGCAGTGCAATTACTGAGAATTTTGCCAAATTGCTTGCCTTCTCGGGGTCAGTCATTCTCACCTTAGCTAAATTCTTATGTTCTGACAATCTGACCACCCTGATCTACTAGTTTGACCTTATATTGTTTTGTCTAACTGGGTCATCTGGGTCCTTTAACCTACAGATCTTGTCCTACCTGATTGAGTTTTGTAGGTTTAAATGCCACTCTACTTCCTGCTTTATTAAGAATCCTACGTAAGGAGGTTCTCAGATGCCCCTCCTTATATGGTATAAAATTAGATGCCATATATTCTCTCATTTGTTTCCATTATTTACTGTAGAACACTGTATGATTCATCAAAATGAAATCTCATTTATTAGGGAGTTAAGCTCTATGTTCCACGAGTAACCTAAGGGAATAATAATAATAATACCTTTGACATTAATATGTAAACACTAAGGACACAGAACTCACTTGTGAACCAAACAACACATCATATAGCAAGCGTGCAATATGCTTACAAACAGATATACAAGCTGTTTGAGTAATTTTCGGCGGTAGATTAGCAAATGAATCAAATACAGATTTTAACCATGATGTTAAATGGACAATGCTTTCAGTTGGTTTAATTTGTACACCTCCACTAGTTACGCTATAACTAATACCATTCCGACCATCCAGAGTTTTATACATTAGTTGTTGGTCAGTAGTCGTACCATTATGATTAACAGTAGTATTAGTATTCGTGTTAGTAGTATTCTCATCCATATCATCATAATTACTCAAATTGATAAATTCTGCAACACTATCCTTCAAGTGATTACATATCTGATCTTCAACCAGTACACGTATATCTTTAAGTAATGATGCACCGTGTAATCGACTACGTGGTGGATTAGCTCCTGAATTCAGTGTAGTGACTGATATACTCATATCTGCTGCTGCTGCGGAATCACCCCCACCACCACCATCCTGTTGATTATCCTATACACAAGAACAACAACAAGAACAAGAAAACAAAAACGTATATAAACAACATGAACTAATACAATAAAATGGTGAAGAATACAATATTAGAAACAGTAAAGAATAGATACCAACGCCAGATGACCTTGAGCCAACCAATCAGATGGCTCGGCATTACAAATGGAAACTTACCCTAGTCTTCGTTGCAAGTTACACCCTAACCCTGTGGTGAGAGCAGGCTGCTAGCCACAATTGGTAGACATTAATCTACGTCAATGTCTAGGTCACTAGTGAGTTGTGTTCAAAAGAAGAAAGTCCAGCCAGTCACTACTACTGCTCTGATCAGCCTTCAGTAGAGACTATAAATTCATGAATTTGCATTATTATCTTTCTTAATTCCCATGTATATTCAGTGTATTGTTATGTTGGTGCTATTTAACTGTAATCGACTGATACTATCATTATTGGTTCGATGTTTTTTAAACAACATTCATTCATTCATTCACTATAATGCATATATAACTAACTGTAGAGCCTGATGAAGAAGGGGTTATCGAAATGAGTATTCTTTGTTCAGTATACATTCTTTTGAAAATTTTAATAGGCATTTTTAATCAGTTAAAAAGCAAAGCTTACCTTAGTCATAGCGAAATCCCGTATTCGACCACTACTCACACCAGAAGCATCATCTAACACATTGTATTGTAGATAATTATCTAAATGACCACATACAGTTTCTAATTCATCTAAATTTATACAAAACTGTGTAAGATGAGGTAGTTGACGTGAATACATTTGTACACCGGAGGTCAGCACAACATTGAGACATTGAGAGAAGAGAAAATTTGTAGCACGATTTATTGTATCCTCGAGTTCAGTGTAGGCAAGATTCATATTCTCACAAAATCGATGACATAAATCAATATATTCACGGACTGCTTGAAATATTTTCGGGACCATCCAAGAGAAACATAACTGACGAGGATAGGGTAATTCAGAGAATTCTACCGTATCACCTGGTGGATAGACTTCAAGAAATTTGGCTAATTCATCTGGATTGGAAATTTTTATTGGTTCATATTTGTCTTCAGCAACTATCGTTTCAAATCTGTTTTTTTATTTTTAGAAAATGAAACATGTGGGATAAAGAAGGTTGAAACAATTGTGATACAAATTTCATATATAAGAAAAGCATACAATGGCAGTAATTACTACATATACTATGTGAAATAAAAACCGACAAGTTCAGAAAATCTATTTAGAGAACGTTTGATGCCAATAAGCTTCATCTCATATTTCCTACTCACCTGGTTCAAGGTTCCGAAACTCATAGACAAAGTACCTGGACTAGCCACCTTTGACTGTAACTATTAATTCAACTGCTTCTACGGGGCCAAATATAAGATGACCGTTGCACACTAAGAACTTGATTTTTTGTGTTCAGGTACGCCTACCAGCGTTGCGGTTAAACAAAGGGGTAGTTAAAACCATCAACAATCCAAAAACTAGACCACCACGTCAAAACAGGCCAGACGCTTTTCCTTTTATCGATACCGACAATAGAATAAATTACCAAAGGCCTCTCTAGATACCGAACACTCAAAACACAAGACTACATCAAGATTCGCTTAATCAATCGAGTCCCTGTTATATATGCCCGAACCAAGTTCACTTTTAACAGATTGAAAAAATTTGGGCATTGGGTATATGATATTCATCATAATAAAGGTTTTCTTGTATTTCCCAATGAATCAATGAAAAACAAAACGACACTGTTGTTTTTACTGACGTTTCGCCGATTACTGCTGCTAGTAGCTTTATCAAAAAATTATTAAACCAGTGTAAGATCAATTCTATTCCCATCCTTGAATCAAGTCAACCTGTCCTGGATCAGCCTAGCGTTGTTGTAACCCAATTATCCATGCCTAACGTGTCTATCCCTGCTTGTTTAATGAACTGTGTGTGTGTGTTTTTACCTCGATCCTTTTAGTCAGACAGTTGAACTCATGACCCAATCAGAGTATTTTGTGAACTGTTATTTTTGCTGACCCATGTCTTACTTTGTACTATTCTGTCGAGTTTATCTTATTTATTGATCTTCATCTGTATTTTCCTACCTGGTTAAGTGGCCAATTAAATTCTAACTTTGTGCCTATACTCGGTCTATCTCTTAACCGCTTTCTGTTTTTATGCCATGCCTTACTTGGGTTCATTCTTCTACTGACTGCTTACCTGAACGGTCGTGTCTGATTCCGGCTAGTTCGCAATTTTGGCTTTAACGTTATTCCGCTCTGATAGCGGTACCTTGCTTTCTGTTAAGCGTTGTGCTTTGTACTCTTAAAACCGTTAAGGTTTGTTGTATACATAATTATTGATTTGTTTATTAATAGTACAGTAGAAACAGTGACCGGCTTCTTGTTTGTTCTGGACCGTGATAGCCTTTATCTACGCGTGACTTAATTTCAAGCGATATTGCGCTTACAATCAGAATTTACAAAATCTCAGCTTATATTTAAGAACTTAATCATCGTTCTTCAGTATGGGGTCATTTTTCGTTGTCAAGTGGGTAAACTGGTAAAGAAAACAAAACCAAGTGTAGATTGTTGAATTCTATAAGTGTGGAAAATTATAAAAACAGCGTATGTTTGCATAAGGAAATTGCTTATCACATCCGTGCTGATTTTGTCATTTCACGTGGAGAGGTGGGTGTTGTAACCAGGTTAAATTCTGATTTAGTCCATCATTCCTATTCAGATAATTTGGATTCCACTTGATATGAAGTGCTTCTGATGATATTAGACGTTCTTTGTGATTTCAGAAATTTTTCTCGATTATTTCAATATTGTCAAAATCAATTTTGTGGCCTGATTCTATAGCGTATAGACCACCTGTGGCTGATGATTTTTCAAGTTTTTCTAGTTCAACTAGATTTCACGGTGGTCGAATGTTGAAGGTTCGGTAGCAGTGGTGTTTATTTTTTAACGGAATGGGGTTGCTAGCCTCATGCGCAACCTTCCCTCTGTACTAGTCATATTGTGGCGAGAGCTGCCTGCTAGCCAAACTGGTAGACAGTAATTTACGTCAATGTTTACGTCCCCAATATTGGTCGTGAAAAAAAATAAGGACAAAGACTGATTCAACAACCAACCAAAGCAGATTTTGCGTAGGCAGATACACTTAGCATAGACATGATGTGAAATTCAAGAAACAGCCACAATGAGATGAAAGATTAACTTTCATTGAGAAACAACCATACAGAAGACTGTTTTTCTGCTAACAATAATCTATAATAATGTACATGAAAATTTATAAATATGAGTTGATTTCCTTAATAAACGATCTGTTGTCTGGCCGTTGTCTTCTGTTTTTAAAGTATTACTGGTTTGGCGAGCTAAAATAGTGAATCGACTGGGAATCGAACACCGAACCACATGAGGCGCGGTTGGCGAGCATTCTACCACTACTCCACCGACTCAACAGTAATTTATTTAGGCTGTAAGCAGAAGCTGATGAGAAGCCAACGAATTAGACAATGATGGTACCATATTCTTCATAAAGGGGAATACAAGTCTATGCAGTATTCTTTGTTCAGTTAAGTTTCATTAAAAAAAAAGAAAAGGAGATTGAACTTACTTCGATTTCCACTGACTAGCCAAAAGACGATGATAATAGCGTTGAACAATACCAATTGTCTCGGATAGACCGGATATTGGAAAACCTAAATTCTCCATAGTCCGTTCAAATATAATTAAATAATCTTTTAGTTTAATTAAATCATTTGGTGATTTACACGATTTGGCATTGGCATGAACAAAATCCACCAGACGATTTACTGTATGCACCCATAATTCATCCAGATATGTTTGATAGAATGCTGATGAACCAGACAGTGTATGCCGGATAAAATCATCAACAACAAAAAATCCACAGATAGCACTGAAAAATTCTCCATAATTACGCATTTCAACCTGTCATATGTGTATGCATGTGTGTGTAAGTGGAAATATAAAAGAAAGGGTAGAATTAAAGTTAACTGGACGGAAGACAGTATAATAATGATCATAATAATAATCCGAAAAATAAATCATATCGAGAAAAAAAGACGCATCAATTATGCAAATTTCAATTATCCTTCACATAAGTATTAGATATTACAAGATGCACATACCCTCCTCCTTGTTGTCTACAGATAAATTTAGAAATTTAGTATATGTGCCGCCGAAGCGAGTACGATTCACGCTATCGTACACCCATTGACTGGGTATTGGTTTTCAGGAGAACCAAACACACCTATCCCTGCCTCTTGCAAGACGAGACGGACATGCAGCATTATCCTGTGGTGCAACCACTGGAGAGCCCTATCCCTTGGTGGACCAATACCCTCCTCCTCGCCATCGTCTATGGATGAATTTAGAAAGTTACTCTCTGATCTAAAAGATAACAATATAATCTGTTATCAGTCCCAAACGGGCTGATCACTGACGAGATCTCAAAACGGATGCAAAAAAGCCCATTTGGAATTGGCCAACTTATACCATCTTTGGGGCTTAGTAGAGGTGATATTCAGCTGGCTATCGATCAACGGGATGTGCGTACTGCACATCCTCCTTTATGGTTATGAGAAACGGACACTGAAAGTGGAAGACACGAAAAGCGTAGCCACCTTTAATGATAAGTGTTTACGTTGTATCCCATGTGTTAAGTAGTATGATAGGGTCAGTAGATAAAGTTGTGAAACTATATCCAATGTTAGCTGACATAGGATTAGGATGGAAAAGAGTTAGTGGTGGTCAAACCAAAACATTGCTCCTTCAGTCCACCAAATCCTTGACACGTAGTCTGAGCCTTGTGCGGAGGTGTAGGCTTCTTGGTTGGGGGGCGTTCCGACCCCAAAGTCCAGTTGGTGGAGAAAATTAGTGATACGGGTCAATCGTTCTCAACTGCAGAGATACATTCACTCTTTAATGCTTTCCAGTCAATAGCACGAAACCTATGTCATGCAGTGCTTCCTGCCGATGGCCTCCAACCATCGAATAACACAAATTCGCAGTGCACCAAGATATCGTGCCACTAGAATAATGGTAATATTGCAAAACTGACTGATAGAATTAAGTCTGTACCCAACAAACAGTTAGACATATGACACTGGTTGCTAATTAATTAATGTCCAGTCAAAATCTCCCATATTTTCTAAACTGCCATGTTTTTTTCCATGTTGCTGCTCTTTTTCCCTCAAGCTCCTGCTTATCATTGTACTTTCGAATTTCTTTTATTCTTTTGTGTGCCACATAGGGTGTGACGACTTGAGGTGGTGCACTTCTGTGTAAAGTTCTATGTTGAAGCCAATCAGTAGGTGAATATTTTCCGAAATGACTCGGAAACAGTGCTCTCAGTCTATCGTATGATTCACATAAACTCCATTTTTGATAAACGATTAGCTGGTGTTGAATGACTCTGACCCAAATAAGCGTTGATTCAATTCTGACTTTATTCCTTGACATTAAACTAATACTCAAGAATTCAAGTGTTGGTTGGTAGGTAGAAAAGTGGTGAGCACTGCAATTCATAACATCTCGGGTGCAAGACGACTGGATTCTGTTCCAATGCTTGATTTAGCTGACAGATAATCACCCCGTAAACTGAATGTCCCGGTGTTCAATCAACGGAGAAGAGTACCAAACTAGGGTAAAACATCTGTCCAGTACTCCCTTACTTCCACCGGTTCTCTAACCAACGACGCTAATCCATGATCAAATCTGAAATATTCAAGTACTAAATTTAATGTTCATATTATTTTTTTGTGACTGAACACTAATCAGTAACCACCACAATGTGTCTAGTCATATCTTTGGTTCAGACTTGATTCCGTAAGTCCAGTTTGACATGTGGCCACCATGTTAGGTGGCTTGCCTTTACGGTGCACCGTGAACTGTTGGGTGACGCGGGTTTGAGTCTCAGAAAGGACATAAGTTCCTTCGAGGAAGCAGATACACTTTGCTCACTGGTCAGTGCCGAGAAGCTTGAAAACAGGTCGAAGTAAGGCTTCCTTCTACATCTACCCTGGTTGGTATTAAAACAAAATTTACCAAGGAAGGTTTAATGTGATGACGAATTGTTTTTGAACGCAAAAGGTGGCTTGAAATTTCTAATTGCTAGGGCTTCCACAAACTTTAGGATACGCCCCAAACACGTTTTATAGATAGGTTTAAAAGATGGGTTAGTGTCAGTTTTATATCCTGTCTCTATAATATATTTCGCAATAGAGGAGCTAAGTCTCCTGTTCTCACCGTTAACGAGTTCTGAAGATTCCATTTGTTTCTGGAGCCATTTAGGAATATGCTCTGAAGCCAGCACTTACTTGCAGAGATCAATGAGTCTTCCCTTTGTATGTGTGTCCACACGTACATTCAAATTCGTAAATACAGTGAGATGCGACATCATTTTTCTCATGTTCGAAGGGCTTAGATGGATAAATATATTGGCTTCACATTCTCAATTACTACGATATTAGCTGCATATAAAGTCTTTTTAACCACAGCAGTGTTCAGTCTTTGTCTATTTATCAAGCTGCTATGATGCCCCATATTGGGTAGTTTGATGTACACGTCTTTCTTAGGGGCGAGTTGAGAGTGGATCTTGGTGTCCCACTGACTACTTTATATCTCCTGATGAACTTGTCTGGATAATTGCTATCAACCAGAGTCTGTGTCAACTTCTTTCTTCTTCATCAAGTATGTCTTCAGTGCATATTCGGCAGATTCTACTGAAGAGGCACCTTACTCACTAAGGCTTTTTTGTACCGAACAGGGCAGAAACAGTGGTAATTAAGATACTGTCCTGTCCAGGTAGGTTTTTTATAAATAGATTTTTTTATTGACCCATCCAGCCGTAACAGCTTTACTCAAACACTCTACTTTTGGTATAAATATGAAATTTTCAGCATGTAGTAGTACAGTATATAGTATTGCATCTAATTTTCTCATTGCAGGGGCAATAATTAAAATAAGACATTCACATTAATAATATTGTTTAAGGGGAAATGAATATAAAATTAAATTAAGTGAAAATATTAAGGACAGTGTAACAATGAGAACAAAAGAAAAATGGGGGCATTTACTTAGAGGTCCTCAGTAAGTTGGTAATTTCCTGTGTTACACACTTTTTTCTATCACATAAAATATGTGCCTGACAAATACGGTATTGTTGAGTTTTTGTACTTAGTTGTCCTTGCTTACAGTCTTCTATAGTTGCATCTAGTTCCCCTATCTGATAAGATGCGGCAACGAAAGAGTTGTGTGTGGAGAGAGAGAGAGAGGATGTTCAGAGTCTGACAGGATAGTATTAGCTAATTTCTTCAAGGAATCCAAGTGTCCACCTACAAAATAATATTAACGATTTGGTTTAGCAACACACCACTCGCCCTACTGACGGCTTTTAAAGGCCTTAAGCAGTACAAAGATTTAGCTGGGGGAACAGTAAAGAAGTATAGGCACAGTATAGCTAAACAATAGAGAGGGAATGATACCAGATCGTCTTAACTTCCTTACTTACATAGAAGGTCAAACGAAATATCTTTCTGGACACTAACATGATGTGGGAAGACCAGAAAAAAATGATCAGAGGAAATACACGGTCCAGAGTACTTAAACTTCGATTTAGTTTCAACTTTAGTGCCATGTATGATAGTGGAACCGTGCGAACCAACGAGTTCAAATAGGTCACGCTTGCATCTGAAGGTGAAATTAAGCGCCTGACATTTGGAGAGATTAAGCTTAAGACCGTTGACTAGGACGATTGACTAATTCCTGAGAAAAAGTTATTCATTTTGGAACAGTCTCATTGAGAAGTAACCGCTGGCATAGAAACAGAGTCATATTAACGCCATACTTAACAAGATTGGCTTCATCAGAATGCGGGAAGTCATGTAAGAAGAAGAAGAAGGAAAACAGAAGAGTAGAAAGAACAATACCCTGAGAAACACCAGGTCGATAGAGTGAGTGAAGGAGGCAGTGGATGACTTCCCATTGTAAACAGTGTACTGCTTTCTACCAGAAAAAGAGGAATGCAACCACTTAGTAATCCAGTACTGTGCTTGCAACACAGCAACCTAATTTATCAAAAGATGTCTAGGTACAGAGTCGAAGGCAGATATGCGTAATCGAACATATTTTGCACCTCTATCTAAACTAGAGACAATATTATGATATAAGACGACAGTGGCATCTAAAGTACCGCCCTCCCCCCCCCCTCAACTATGTTTATAAGCAAATCGATTAGGCTCATTAAAAGCCTTCACAATGAAGGTTAAAGGTTAAGCAAAAGCAGTCCTTCCCATTATTTTCAAAAAAATAAAAGGTCAATTAATGGCAAAAGGTCTGAACTTTACAGTTGCTGCAGTTGATGATTTAGACACCATAAACCGTTTTATTGACTTGTGGTTACAGACACAGAGTAACAGTCGACTATACAATAATGCAGCACACATAAGAAGAAGAAGCAGAAGAGGAAAACACCAGATCCATACAATACGTCAATGTTAGTTACACTTTGTGTAACAGGGGTAGAGAGAATTTCTGCCCTACATAAATACTAATACTACAACTAACCAAAATCATAATAATAATAATAACTATATATGTCTAATAAACCAAATACAACCATTTTATTACCAGAATACCATTCTGTAACAAAGTGATTAAGGGTTGCACAAAAAGACTACAATATATATATCAAAACTTCTTAGAACACAAAACATACGATTACATATACAAAAAAAACACATCAGCTAATAATCAATACTGAAATTAAATCTAAACACGAATGTATGTAACACACGGAAGCGTTAGAAATTGATGACTAAGTTGAAGGCGGAGAGAGAAGCAGAGAGTTTCTGAAAGTGAGAATGGCACACGAAAGAAAATAAAACTCAGTGTCGATTCTAAACAAGAAATTAAACAAATAAGATATG